TTTTGCTGTATCTGAAAACATATTTCATACATAAACTGACTTGTTTTTGATAACTTAAGCAGAAAGTTGACTATATGCAATAAACTGGCATATGAAAAAGAAAATTGAACGTTTTAAAAATATTTTCCAAGTATACTTTTAAGAGAACTCTCACTCTACCCATTATTTATTACTAAACTATGTATAAATAATGGGAAATTAATCATTTTTTTTCACAGATTATTTTAATAGCAAGAGCTCCCAGGAAACTGGCCTTGGGTACTTAGAAACTCTAATAAGTATCAGAAGGAACTCTTTTTTACAGAGTTGCACTCCAGCAAATATTTTAGGAGTGGCCTCTGATCATCACTGCCCTTTAAGGCATCAATTTTAATGACTATTTTCTTCGACTATTGTTAGTTTAGTGATTATTTTTAATTTTGGATATCCCCAATTTGAATGCTGAAGTTCCAAATTTGAATTTGAAAACACTTTTAGAAAAGATTATTCTCTAGAGAAAACATTTGTACATTGTTATTTGTCTAAGTATTTAATACACTGATTTATGTGGTTTAATATTTGGCTTGATTACCTGTCCTTTATTTTTAGCCATAACAATGTCATTTGACTTATATGATAAAATTCCAGAGAATATAGGTCAAATCTCTTCAACTCACTTTACGTAGCAGCTCTTGTAAATAAATGACTAATAAATGCTTTTGATGATGACAATGAAAATGATTGAGACCTGTAATTAATTCAGTAGAAGTAATATATCTGTCGGTACCAGCTAGAAACAAGGAATGAATTAAGACTTGGTCAGCTCCTCGTGACTGATGTAAGATTTTTTTCATTGTGCCTGAGTCCCATCATTCTATGTGGCAGTTGAATTAGCCAAAGCAATGTGCCACTGGAGAGCAGACTGACCCTGGAGAGCGGTGATATAGAGCATGGACTCTGGAGTCAAGAYATCATGGGTTCTACTTGCAGCCATGTGACCTCAGCTTCTTGACCTTGGAAGCTTACTGATCTAAATCTTTGTTTACTTTTCTAAAAGACCATAGCATTAGATAAAACTTTTCAACTTCCATAAAATGGCAACAATAATAGTATCTATTTTGAGGGATCGGTATAAACATTGAAATAATTTTTCAAGTGTGAGCATGGTGTCTAACACATAGAGAACTCTCAGTTAAATGTTGGTTATTATTACACTATAGTTAATCTTAATACTTTTATTACAAATTATTTTTAATTGCAAACAGACTGATGCCCCAAATGTGAAGCCATTCCATTGGTTTTCATTTGGCACAGTTTGTATACAGTTGGCTTCCTTAAGAATAACCTTTCATTCTAATTTTTATAATATTATAGTATTCTATACTTTCCATAATTGATTTCAATGACATTAGAACACATGGCTTTGATAGGAGGGCTAAATAGTTTTGCTGAATCCTTTATAATTATATTTTACTGAAAAACTAACAGAAATGGTGATTAGTTAGGCTAAAAAGAAGTTTCATTTCAGTTAGCCCTATAGTTAGGGATTGTTTATGAAAACGTGCCCACAAGAATGAGGCTGGATATTGAAAACARAATTCTCTTTACAAAGCAAAAATACTAGAGTAAACCTTGCCAGATGCCAAATAATCATTATATATGTTTTGATACGGAAAGATCTCCAAAGTATATTGCTTGGTGAAAACAGCAGAGTACAGAACGAGTAAAATAGGTCCCCATGCATGTTTGAAAAAAGAATACAGACAGAAAGTTAGTTAGAAATACAAATATTTATTGACTTCCTGCCCATTGTGTTGGTGTGCTAGACTTTATATGCTTATAAGCTAATATTCATAAGCATTTTCAAGATAAGTACAAGTTATGTAGCTTGTACAATATTGCAGAACAAGTAATGGACAGGTCTTTTTCTCTGCTTTTAACTAGAGTTTTCAGAAATCTATAATTCATAGCTACCAATATAGRCATTTTACCCTTTACTACATAGAAAATTTAAAGGATTTTTTTCAACTATKATCTCAAATCATTGAGACTACAAATTCTGTCAATATCTATCACAACTGGAGTTTCATTTAAGGCAGATACTTAGAATAATGTCTTTCACAACTGTTTGTAATTTTACCTATTAGGACAACTTTTGTCACATAATTTTCTTTCTAACATGGATTCTTTTTTTTTGTACCAGGGATTGAACCCAGGAGCGTTTAACCACTGAGACACGTCCCCAGCCCTTTTTCATATTTTATTTAGAGACAGTTTAGCAYTTTGCTAAGTTGCTGAAGCTGGCTTTGAACTCACAAATCTCCTGCCTCAGCCTCCTGAACCACTAGGATTACAGGCATGCACCATCACGCCTGGCCTGACTTGTAAATTTTAACCAGGATTTGCACAAAATCTAACTGGTTTCCTGACTAAATATGTTACACCTTTCAGTATGGATGTAGCATTGCTGTATGGCTTTGGAAAACATTATAATCATGAATACAAAAAATATTGCCTAACATATACTATGCTAGTTGCTTTCCATTTTTAAATAATTAAATACTATTGTTTATATTTTTGCATACAAAATCTGTAAAGTGAGTATTATAGAATGAATATATTATTGAATAAACATTACATAATATGTTCATTCTATAAATCACTTATTCTTGTGATTTGAGGAATTACCATAAAAAGTATCAAGGAAGTGGCATCATAGATAAAATATATTGTAGGTCTTCTTCTCTTTTTTTGAGGGAGAGAAAACAGGGAGTAGGTGGTCAATTTTATTAACAGGAAAGAAGAGAAGAACCTGAATAAGACGCAGACTGAGGGGAGGGAGGATAGTAGAGGATAGGAAAGGTAGCAGAATACAACAGTTACTATTGTGGCATTATGTAAAAATGTGGATGTATAACCGATGTGATTCTGCAATCTTTGTAATGTTTTGAATAACCAATAATCAAAAAAAAAAAAAAAAAAAAGACCCAGACTGCTTTGTCTGCCATGGATGGAGAGCACAAAGCAGCAAGTGTGGAGAAGCAGACTGGTCCATAGAACTTCAGTGACACTAGAATGTCCTGGCTGCAGGAATGTGCCTGCTGAAGATTCTGTGTTTGCATTTAAATTTTACTCCATACTTGACTATGTGGATACTTCTACATGATTTAATCAAGTTGAGATTCCCTCAAGAGAGGGTGAAGTTCATCAAAAAGTATTTTTTTTACTAATTCAAAATGAACATTCGGGGCATCAAGCTTAAAACTAATTTATAATATCCCAAATCTGTCAAATGCAGCTGTAATTCTCCTACTGTGTGATCATTTAGATGTTTTGCTAAGAAAATAGTCCTTCGGAGCTTTTCTCTCTTTATTTAAAGTTTTACATAAGCTATGGCTTAGAGATTATAAATAAGCTATTTTTCTGTCTCTGGAATGTCAGTCCTAAGAAAAATGTGAGTTTACTCCATTTCCTTTCTCATGGGGGTTAATATCTTATTTTCTTTTGTTGTAAATAAGGAAATGGATAGATGAGAATATTTAAATTCTGGTACCAACTTTAACGAAAGAKGCAGCTTTAAAAATTATGTGTATTATAGTAGAGTATGGTAAGATAGAACTTCAGAGTTTTTTTTTTTTTTTTTTTTAGATGGGGGGGGTTTGGTTCATTTTGCTGCTTCCTATAAATTGAAATCTCTTGCCCTAGATTCCTCTTTCAGCCCTCTCTGCATCTTGGAAACTCTTTGTGTCTTCTTTGTATGGGGCGAGGATGAGGGAGCAGAGTTAAGAACATGAGCTCCTCCTCAGGAAGTAGTAGGTCCCAAAGTTGGGTATCTAAGCAGCTCAGGGAGATGTGTATTCCTGTGGAAAGAAGGACAAGCAGAAACTAAAAGGAGATCTTCTCCTTTATTAACATTTTTCCTGACAGCAGTATTCCTAGAATCTCTYGATTGGTATTGGCTAATCATTTAATTAAAAGAATTTTTGAGGACTAGGGCTGTGGCTCAGTGGTAGAGCACTTGCCTAGTATGTGTGAGGCACTGAGTTTGATTCTCAGCACCACATATAAATAAATAAAATAAAGTCCATTGATGACAAAAAAAAWTTTTTTWAAGAATTTTTGAATGGATGGGATGAATATAAGAGAAATTGTTCCAGCTGTTCTTTTTTTCTTCTCAAAACTTGAGCAAGAGTAAACTACATTCAATGTCAATTGAATATGTGAATCTAATTATAATAATTATAGAAAATTAAGTCCCATAAAGAATGGTAGTCATTGCAAACTGTGTAATAGAGCAGCAGGAGGGTAAAGTCCATCTATATATCTTAGAGCAAGTTATAAAAGAGGAAATATACTAAGCTTCCAAATGATGTGCTACAGGGTTAGAAACAGTGCTGCTTCATACTTCTAGCAGATTTGGGAGCCCTGGATACATTTCTGAAATAATGAAAAGTTTATTCGCTTCTGCTGCCTCTGTACTTAAATTGAATTCAGTTACTTTTATATGTGTAGGTGCATTCGGGAGCCTCAGGCAAAGTTTTGAAGAGGAAGGGATAAATGCTGAATCATAAATTTCTGCTATTTCTTTAAAGAATAAAAAAAAATAACCCATGCCCACTGGAGGCTGGTACCCCTTAATGAAAATATAGCAACCATAGTAATTTTTTTAAAAAAACAATTGGTTTGGATGAATTAGTTCTGAGGTGGAAGCAGTTTAGTATTCAGTTCGACATGTTTAACTAAGTGTGAACTGAATATCTATAATTGTAAACAAGATGTGACTTACTGCCTAACTTTCAGAGTTCATTCTTTAGCTCTCTATCCCAAGTCAGCAAACATTTGTGAAGCACTCTTTGTGCATTTGCTGGTTATGGGGAACTAGGGACAGTGTGTAAGTAAGATAGATGGTCTGGAACAGACCTCTACGTTTGATTCTTTCACATTGCAGAGTATTATTAAAGAGAAGGAAATGACCTGGAGGCATGAATAGGGAGGACACTTACCTATRGTTTCAAGCTTACCTTTGCCAGTTGCTCGTGAATCTCAAGCAGGCTGGGTCGGTTGACCTTGGGCCCACTGACGCTGCCAGTGTTGCGGTAGTATTCTATCTTGGGAACAGCATCCATGGTGTTATGGCCAAAGGTTTGCAAGTAGTATGTGTTTGTGTGAGAATCGTAGACATGAAAACTGGCATCTGTCTTAGCAGTTTCTCCATTTTGGAGGAAATTGTCATAACACTCCTGATTCCCAGGCCTAAAGCTGATTCTCAATCTGTTCTGGGCTTCATCCCCAAAAGAGGTTTCTTCATAATGTGGCGGGTCCCTGTTGTCATTCACAGTTGCASTGTTTTCATGGTTCTCATTTATGACATTGACTTGAAAGCGATTGGTATTACTGGGCACTGAATCCAGAAATACATTGGAAGAGTTGTTCAATGACATCTTCCAAAATGGATTTCTTGGACTAAGCTATCTACAAAAAAGAAAAAAGAAAGAAACTATAAATTTCTGCCTCAAAACAAACTCTAATGTGGTTACATTAGGTAGCTGTTGGCTTTTGTTCTAGATGAACTCAATAAATAGATTCTTGATATATTGTCTCCTAAATAATCTTCAGAATGTTCTTCAAAGCTGTCATTGAAAAAGAAAATTAAACTTGTTTCAAAGAATACAAATATATTGGAGTAGGGTTGGGGAATGAGGGAAGGGTTTTCTTTTTCAAGACATACAATCTTAAGTTCATTTCACTAAAAATCACTTCTGTGGAAACCTTTGTCACCTGAGCARTTAAATCCTATAATAAATAACTGAGGACTTGCTTCAGCAAACAGCATTTCCAGTGGAGTCATTAAAATGTTACAGTGTGTGTAGTATTTGCTTGGATTTCATGCAGTCGGAGCCAGCATGATTTTTAGAAAAGAACTACCAATTGCATTTAGTAACAACAGATGAGAATATTCTCAGCCTGAAATGTAGTTCATTGACAGTACTAAATTCTGAAACTGCAAAGTATTTAATGATTGTTGAGAATATATCCTATAAGATAAATAAAATGAATATTGAAAACTTTAAAAAGGCATTCTTGCTACTTCATAAAAAATGTGTTGGTTGTCAAGTAATAAATTTGTCTCAGAAATATTTTGTTTCCTGTGCAACAAGTGGAAAATCACATTTTAGAATGACAGTTGTTAAAAAAATACAACCTTTCAAAATGATGTCTCTGTAAATTCTTGCCCCTTTTATTAGCCTTCAGAATGTTTCATTTGCTCATATATTTGTTTGTTTTTATAAATGCCATTATGGAACCTTTAAAAATATAGGTATTCGGGATAGGAGATAAATCATAGCTATTAATAAAGTCCTATGCTTTATTTAGGTAAAATAATCATGCTCTTTGGACTCTCTTTTATGAAATATTCTCAATAATTAAGAGATTTATATTTGACTATGAAATGAACAGACTACAACAATAATTTTTACAAATTCTACAGTATGAACCCATCTTAAAGTACTTTTTTTTAGAATAATATTTCTTTGTCAATACCTTAAATCTTGTTTTTTCAAGGGAAGTTCTAGAAAGATGAGTTAAATACAAATAAAACTTGTCTGTGTCACACAGATATTAAAGCTATTTCTTTGACTAAAAAGAAGCCAGCTTAAACTTTCAAATAACCTTTCCTGGTGAAATTGYAAGTGATGCTGTTATCTTTGTAGTATTTACAGAACATCTCGCTTCTTCTCAAAGAAGGAAAAGTCTTCTCAAAGTCTTGACACCCCTTTACTCCACTCCTCAGAATCTACTTTATGACATAGTATTAAGTACAATTTTTATCCTGCCCAGAAATGTTTAACTTACCACCAAGGAGCTGCCTTCTGAGGAAATGTAACCTGCTCCAGCATCACACAGACATATATGGGGCACTTAGCTTTCAGCCCAGAGCAAGAAGCTTCTTCTTATTGGTTAGAGCCTTTCTTGAAAGAGATGACTTTGCAATGATTGGTCTGGAATAACACTAGAAGCCCCACCCACTCATTAGCCCTGAGGAACCTTAAGTACCACATCAACTAGTAACTAGTAGTAAACCATTAATCCTTTTAGACAGGATATAAAATAAAGTTTCTTTAATTCATAAGGAGAATTAGATTGCTCAACAGCAATCCTTCAAAAAATATTGCTTCAATTGTTTGGCACTAGATTAATTGAGTCCCATGTTTTTTTAATGATGAATCCTAGTGACCTCTTATTGTTAGCCCTCCAGAGGTAATTCCTATATTTTGTAACTAGAAAATGTTATTTGAAATTATTTTAGCTTACATATAGTAAATCTTACTTTGATTCTTATTTGCCAAAGTATTTCTTTCTAGTGGAAAAAATTTTGAAGCAGAACTAGAGCTGTGGGTACATTCCCAATGGCACTACTAAATGGCCATTTTGTCTCCACCTGGGAAAACATTTTATCAAAGTTGGTTTTTTAGTTTTGTTGAGGAGAAGGTTTTACTCAAATCTGTGGGTTGGTTATTATTAAGACAACACAAATGGCTCTTCTTGCAAATTCTGTTATTGGTCTTCAATCAAATATGATTGAACTAGTCCTCCTTGTGTCTTATATGAAACTATCCAAGTTATTTCCWGTTGCCTGGATAGTTTGGTTATAGTGTAATATCATGGTTAAGAGTCAACTCTGGTGGCTGGGGATGTGGCTCAAGCGGTAGCGCGCTCGCCTGGCATGCGTGCGGCCCGGGTTCGATCCTCAGCACCACAAACAAACAAAGATGTTGTGTCCGCCGAGAACTAAAAATAAATAAACATTTAAAAAAAAAAAAAAAGAGTCAACTCTGGAGTTAGAATGCTGCACTTATACTCTGGCCCTACTACTTCCTATCTGTGTGAACTCAAGGAAGTGAATCTTTCTGCACTTTAATTTTTTTCATCTGCAAATGTAGATGTGAATAATAATGGTACCTACCCTGAGGAATAATTATGAGGATTAAATGAGTATATTTGTGTTAGGGTTTAAAACAGTACATAGTCCTTGTTTTGCTATTTTAGCAATATTTATACTTGGCTGTGGTTYACTTAGTCATATCTGAAATTCTGAGGTTAATCATTAGAAGTCAGGATAGGTATTATGCCTGTGAGAATAATGGGAAAGTTAAATTGGTAAAAAGATATAGAGAAACGGCCTGGAGATACCTAAGTAAAACTCTTTGGATGCTCTTAGTCAGGTAAATGCCATGTTAATCAGTCAGGCTAATGCAATGAGGCTATATCAGAAATAGAGATAAAATTACAAGAATGAACATATAACTCAATATTTTCTTAAAGGCCACTAATACCAGTCATTTATCTGTTCAACAAAGGGTTCTGAGTTCAATGAAGAAAGCTTTCAGGTGTAGAAATTAGTCATATTTCAGATTCAGCTAGATGGGGTAGGTTGTTTAGATCAGGACTAGGTACTACTAGGACAGAGCTGGGTCCCAAAACAAATTCTATTTATTAGACCAGGACAGAAACTGACACCATCCAATTCCCATTCACTTTCATAAACCATCTATTTCTTTTTTCTTTTGGTACCAGGGATTTAAACCAGGGATGCTTAACCACTGAGCCACATCCCATCCCTTTTTATTTTTTATTTTGAGATAGGCCCTCACTAAGTTGCTTAGGATATTGCTAAATTGCCAAGGCTGGCTTTGAACTTGCGATCCTCTCACCTCAGCCTCCTGATCTGCTGGGATTACAGATGTGTGCCATGGCACCCCATGTGCCTATTTGTTTTTAAACTTTTTTTCCTCTATCAAAAGTGGTGTGTGTCTCCAATCCCAGTCAATTTCTTTTTTTCTCCCTGTCGCCTGACTACAGTGTAGTGTGAATTAGTTTTAGTCTTGGTATTACATCAACCAGACATTTTCATTCTAAGGTTTTTATCTCTAACAGTGAAATGAACRTCTTTGTTCTTTATTAAGGGGATTCAGACCTTCTAGAGCAGATGGGAGACAGTTTGGGGGATATGGATGAAATTATGCCATCCATAAAACCAACCTTGAAAGGTGAACCTGATTTAGACCTTTCTGACAGGAAAGTAGCAGAAGCCAGCCATCTGGAGATATGTTCTTCTATCTTCCCTCCTGTTCTGCCTGACAAAGATCCAGGGAAGAGGTAATAGGCGCTGATCCAGGTCTGACACTGGACATCTATTCCTTAAAGGATTAGCATTTTGTGAAATTTCCACGTGGTATCCATACTATAACGAGAATTTTATATTTATTGTATTATTCTTAGTATTGTCTCTGAAAATACAGACAATAACCCCTCTTGTATTCCTGCTGATAAAATGCACACAACAGGCTATGAATAAAAGCTACGGGTAAAGACACTTTTGGTTAATAAATGTTTTCTTTAGTGGTAATATTGTGGTGAAGTTGTTATCTGAGAAGTTTGTGGGAGTTGAAACTTCAGGAATAATGCACATGCTGCATGAAGTTTTCTTGCATTTTTGGGGAGCGGGGGAGTCTTTCTTAAACTGAATATCTGGCTTTGTTATACCTTAGTAGCCAAAACGTAGAGTTTCGTGTTTTCCCAGAGCGACTGTTGTGTTTGTTTCTCCCTGGGAAAACACTCACAAAACTCTACATTTTGGCTACTAATGTATTTGTATTTAGACTTTGCAAAGAAGATGCTAATGTCTTGATACATACAGTTTTCAGCAAGTTCAGCCGAGCTTGACTCAGTSAGGTGTTCTTGGGTTAAATTACCACCTGGCTATCATGTGTTTTGTGTTTACAATCTTGTATCAACTGGGTACAAAGAGACTTCTTGAGGTGAGGTTTTGGTCCAGAAGAGCCACAGCCATCACAAATGTGTTCTAAATCTACCAGGGGATGGGGAGAATCAGGGAACCTCACTGAGACAGCTGGTTTTGAGTGTCATAGACCTGAGAAATTCTCATGTATGCAAGATGCAAAAGACAGTATCAGGGAAAACTGTCGATGTTGGTCTACCCAAGTTCAATGCTAAACACATTCATCCCCCAGCTTGATTACCTTGGGACATTACTTGATGACCTTAGGGCATTACATTACATTGACTTCAGTTCCTCTTCTGTGAAACTGAGATAAAAATAAAATGAAAATAATAGTCTCAAAGGATTGAGAAGAGTATCAAATTAATGGAAAGCACCTAAATTAGTGCTAGTTTTCAGTAAACGTTAGTCTTATTCCTTCTTGGTATGTTTGGCTGTTCTGTGGTCTTAGGAGACACCAATGTTTTTTGTTATTTATCTTCATTCAGTGATCACAGAGAGTCAAAATTTTGTAATTGGAAAGACTTAGAATGATGTAATTCTATCTTTTCATTTTTCAAATGAAGAGAATGAATAGTGGAGAGGTTGAATAAGTCATTTCTTCTTTGGGTTTGAGCACTTTTATTACTGCTACTACTCATGAAGATACTAAATAGTGATAGTAAGGTATGTTGAAACAGTGTTTCATGTTTTTCAAAGTGCTTTCACAGTAAATATACCTCATTGGTCTTCTTAATATTCTTGCAGGATATGCAGGATGGGTTTCTTAATCTTTTTTTTTAATATTTATTTTTTAGTTCTCGGCGGACACAACATCTTTGTTTGTATGTGGTGCTGAGGATCGAACCCGGGCCGCACGCATGTCAGGCRAGCGCGCTACCGCTTGAGCCACATCCTCCAGCCCAAGGGTTTCTTAATCTTGTTTCGCAGATGCAAAAAATAAGTTACCCTTAGGTAACTTTCTAGACCAAAAAGCTAGTTTGGGGGCCAACATTAGAATCCAAGTCTCTGACTTTAGGTTCTAATCTGAAAAACTTTCATGATCCCTTAAATCCTCATTCTTAGACTTCTGGGTTTCATGTCATATTTGTAACATGTTTAGGGCACTAAGGATGTTAACAATATTCTGGATAGCTTCCCCACCAAGAACACGGAGATAAGATGACTTGCTCAAGGTTGCATAGCTTTAATAGTGGCAGGGTTGAGAGTGGACTTCTTATTCTGGCAGAATGCTCTGATCTTGCTGGAAACTCCCTCTTAAATGTGATTTATCTAAGGGGTAGTGGAGAGAGTATCAGTATCAAGCAGGACCACTTTGATCCCAAGCTATAGAACTTTATTGCAAAAGATTCTATAATAAGACTAGAAGGGCCAGGGCTCTGTAAGTTTGGGGAGATTTTAGGGCCTGTGGAAACTTTTGGGATTTAGGTGTTAGTTTTTTGAGGTTTTTTTTTTTTTTACCTGTGAACCTTTTTGACTGATGGTTATCATTTTTAAAAAACCATATTCTGTTTATTCTTTTGGCTGTCCCTTATGTTTATGATCTGATTCTCTAAAGTTAAATTAGAGGTCTGGATCTGGAATGTGAAGAGRGTATTTAGACTTTGCAGAGAAGAGGAAGGAGGGTGCCTCCAGCTAGTTCATGGGCATATGGAAGAGAACAGAAATTCAAGGTAAAAATAAAAATGGTTTATAAGTGGAGCCATATTTTGTTCTATTCATTAGATACCTTGATGCAGGGACAGAGAAAAGTAGTAATCCTAAGAGTGGTTTATCATCTACATGGCACAGTGGATAAATCAATCATAGATCTTTATTGAATTCAGTGAATGTAATGAGTTTCTCTCCAGCCTACCCAGCATACCCAAATGTAGCCACCGCATGTCCCAATAGCACAACCATGAGAAGCATAAAGCTGGAAATCAGGCGAGTGCATATTCAAACGTCCCTTTATCAAACTCTTCAACTTCATCTTCCCATGTAGAAGAAGGCATGCTACTGTATGGGTCTAAGAGAATTTTGAAGCATCTGATAATTAGAAGTCCCAAGAAGATACACAGAATCCCAACAAAAGCAAAGCCAG